CTGAGCACAGTTCTGGCAGGCCCAGGCCCAGCGTTCCCCACTCAGCCCTACCAGCCTTCCGGCCCCCACCCCAGGCTTCCTGTTTGGGTGATCTGCTTCCGGCTCCCCTACTCCCTGGCCTAGGTATGGTCACCACCACAGGTCCTGCCCTGCGCTGGGCTCCTGGCTCCCCTCAGATGCTCCCTGGGCTTTGGGCCCCAAAGCTTCATGTCTCCCTCTGCTCATTTCTCCCCAAAGGCACAAACTAACCTCAATAGGAAGTGACTCTTCTGAACATCTCATCCTGGTAAAATGTCCTGACCGTCTTCCTTTGCACCTGCCCTGCCTGGAGGTAAAGGGGCTGGCAGCAGTGAGAGGGTTCAGGGTAGATTCCCAAGTATTGTGGCTCAGGGATGGGAGCTTAAGCTTCATGTGAAGATGAAATGGGAGGAACAAGTGAGCCCCTAAGCTTAACCCAGATCTTTGATCCCTGTGGTTTCCCACTGACACCGAGGACACACACACACAAAAACAAATCTGAGGATGTTAACACATAGAATGAGTATAAGACTGAGTTTTCCAGGCTCTGGGGAGATGTGTGTTAGTGGAGGGACTTCCGAGTCTGAGATCAGTCTGAGTGTGAGACCTCTCTCTCCCTAGAGATTTCAAGCTATGGGTGTGCATAGGGAAGGAGCTGGGCCAGGGCCAGGGCCAGGGCCAGGGGGAGAAGTCAGCCTGGCTGCTCCCACTTCCTGCATGTCCTTGTTCAAGTCTAACCTCTGATGGTCTCAGCTCCCACCCCTGTTCCCAGCTCCCACTGTAGTCCCTGGCCAGTCAGTCCCTGCTTTCAGCACTGTGTCTCTAAATGCACTTCTCTCTTTTGATACCCCAAGGGGAGGGATAGGCCAGGATGGCAGGAGGAGAGGGGAAAACCGATTGCTGAGCCAGTTCTGGGGAGGGAGGGGAAGCCCAGGAAGGAAGGACGGGGGAGCAAGGAGTGGGGGTATTTTGGAAGAGGAGAAGGCTTTTCTTGTCCTGAGAGAAAAGGGTGCACTGTCTGAAGCAGTGGCCCAGCTGGGGGTGTGCAACCCCGAGGTCACCCACTTCAAATGGTCTCTGTGTGTTTCTTTCTCATAGGGCCAACTCAGGGTTCAAAAGCCTTCTCTCTGCTCTTTGGCCAGCCCGGTTCCATCCCCCCTCCCCTCTACCCTAGAATGTTCCCCTCAGCTCTGCCCTACTTTCCTTAAGGCTGTGAGGCCTTCCTCCACTAACTTCTCCCTAGAACCCAAAACCCACCCCTACACCACCCTAGGTGCCCTGCCTGACATTCTCTCCCCTAGAAAGCTGTAAGAGCTTTCACCCTGGTGACCCTGCCCTCGAAGATTCAAGGTTGTGGATTTGGGATGGGGTGGGTCACAGACTCAGAAGAAAGGAAGGAAAGAAATGGGGGGAGGAAAGCCAGATCCCGAGGGAAGGGAGAATGAGCAGCCTGGCACACCCTGAAAGAGACACACCCAGAGACAGCCTTTGACTGCTGGGCAGGATCTTTGGGGCTCAAAATGGAAAAGGAGGGTTCCAAGAAGGAAGGGTGTGTGAGAAGAGGGAGGAAGGGTGGTGGCAGGAATTCACAAGAAAGAATAGAGGAAGACAAGAACACAGGGGTATAAAAAAGAAAGACCAGAGTCCGGAAAGAACTGACAAGTGGGCTTCTAAGAAGTCTGGTTTGGCTGCTCCCCTACCTGTTTGTGGTGTCTTTCAGGGGACCCCTTGACAAGGCAGCTGCGGCTGAGACGGAGGTAGCCCCCCAGAACCAAGATCTCCTCAGCAGTCGGGTACCGCTTCTTCCCAGCCCCGGGGACTGCAGCATCAGCTGTCGCTGGGGAGGCTGGGGCCGCAGAGGGCATAGACCTCCGGGGGTTGACTGTGAAGGTATGTCCGCTGCGGCGGGGGGTCCCCACCCCTGGCCCTGCCTTCACCCCGTAGAACAGACGGCTCATGAGGGGATCCCCAGGGTG